CTGGGGACATTCATTTGAGTGATGAGTGTCCCAACATATTTATATATTTTATTTATTTATTGTATTTATATTTTATCATTGACTGATTTTCATAATATTATTACGATAAAATAAAACTAAAAACGACCCTAATATTACTACTAACGCCATCTGTCAGAAGCTTTCAAAACTTTTACGAGAAAGGTTCTTTTTGAAGTCGCATTCAGCTTATAAAATAAACTTTTATTTTGTCATGCAGTATACATACAAACTTTGATTTACCCAAATGTACTAATTCATTTTAATTTGTTATAGAATCTATTTACCGTTTACGTTTAAATAAATTCGTGCATTCAAATATTTGTATATGATATATGATGTATATGTTATCGTATAGGAATTTGTAGATATCCGTCTCAGATATACAAGAATATTTGACATTTTAATTAAAACTATTTTTTAGCATTTTTCACGTTTTTATTTTCATGGGAGTTCTTATGTCAGAGGCTAATGCCTCAAATGTGCAAATAATTTTAATAAAACTTCGCCAACAATATAAAAAACTTTTTTTACACTTAATATCACCTTTAACATTTTAATGTTTTGGAGTAATCAATTTTGCGAACTCTCACGTGATCACTATAAACATGTTGTACTATAAAACACCTGAAACCAAAAAAGTCTAAATAAATCCGCAAAATAAATCTAATAAAACAGTTTTATTTAGACTTTCAAATATTCGCGTAAATCTAACAAAATATTAGGTAAATAAGTAAAAATATACCTAATGTTACAATCTCAAAACCGTCGCCTAAGTTACTCTTTATAACATCAGCTATCTGCCAGTGAAAGTCCCGTCAAAATTCGTCCAGCCGTTTTGGAGATTAGCCGGAACAAACAGACAGACAATATTTTAAACATTTTTTTTATAAGTACCGAATATACTTTGATATGCATTTAGAAAAAAGCTATTATTTTGACATTACAAACAGACACTTCAATTTTATTTATCTGTATAAATGTCAAATGTGTAGGCAATAAATTCTTATTTAATTAAATTATACACAAAGAGCCACACCTGCATTTTGATATAACACAATTAGCACTTAAAAAAATTACAAGAGAAAAGTCCATGTAATACATGTGAAAATTAGAAACCTATGAAGGTTATTGCTATTTAGCGACATTGACCAATTGATCTACTGTAGGCTGTTTTAACATCTCGCACAGTTCTCAACGTTGTATCGGTGAATGTTGGGTTTGATTCTCACTTGAGACAGTCCCACACTATAAGATAAAATTAGTATGTTTGTATGTAGTAAATAATCTTGATAAGAAAAAAACTTTAAATACGCCAGTGAAGTCATGAGCAAAACTAGTTATTTATAAATAATAAAAAAATCGTGATAAATACAACAAAAAAGCAATGAGGCAGTAGTAGCCCAGTTGTAAGGTGCGCGCTTGGGAAATCGAGTGAAGCGGGTTCAAATCCCGGATCTCGCACTCGATATTTTCGAAGGAAACCTGCATGTCTGAGAGAACATCGCAAGTTTTCGACGGATAAGTAAAGTCCGCCAACCCGCACTTGGCCAGCGTGGTGGACTATGGCCTGATCCTCATCGTATTAATGGGATGCCCGTGCCCAGCGTTAAATAATAGGCTTACATACAACAACAAAAATACAGATATTTAATACTGTCTTAATAAACAATAAAAATATTATTTTCAAATGAATTAAATATTTAATCTGTTGAGTTATTTATGGTCTATATAACTTAAACGTATATAAGTGAAAGGTGGTTTATTACTAAAAGAAAAGTTGCTTCTTCATGTACATTGTAAAAGTGTTAAATTTACTTAATTAAACATTTTCGAACTCATCTCCAACAGATATTTATTTTAATTTATTATTACGTTACGTTTTAACGGCTGGTATGGAATGATAGAATATATATTATATATGCATAGGTACAAACTGAACAGTTTTGAATAGGTTATATATTATATATTGTAATATATTTCAAAATTAAAAACATGTATCTAAAAAACGTCAGTTACTTCCTGCTTTCAAATTAATAATCATAAGTCATTTTTGTGGTTATGTTATACTATTGCTACTAGTATTATGAAAAAAGGCAAATTTAAATTGTAGATTTTTTTCTCATGTATTGCATTTAACAGTGGAAAAATTATTCTAAGAATGTGAGATGAAAATTGGTTTAAAATGACTTTCGATTTTAATATTTTTTCATAATATAAAAATATAAAATATATGTTCAGATGACCAAAAAGCAAATTCTTAGATTTTACATATTAGTTTACTCTTAGAATGCAGTTTTTGTACTTTTTTCTTAGAAATGAGATATTAAAAGTATACTATATGTTGATTCGAACCCGCGACCGCTGGCACGGCAAGCAGGGTCACTACAAACTAAGCCAAACGTGTCGTCAAAATTAATTGCTTGTTAATGTACGTAACTTTCGTATTGCTCTCTTTTAAATTATGTAGACATAAAATAATACACGATGTATATATATATATATATATATATATATATTATGCACTACCGACTTAGCTTCGCTTCGCTCTGGTGCGTCCCTAATTACGTTTAGAATAGAAAAAAATAGTGATTGCCTTGAATATACCTTATGGTAGGCATATGCTATTGCGGACTTTTCTGTCGACCTTTTTAAGATCTACAATTTTCTAGTACATTGTTTTAATTTATTTCTCAAGGCTTAGCCAGGGTTAGCGATGAAAATTTCTAAGGGCAACTCGACAGAACCAGTTATTGCGTTTTCCCGTCGGAATGAAAGATTTTCCTGTAGGAGGATGTTGATCAGAGTAATAAGTTATTACTCGGTAAATCGGTTCACTACCTTTTGCTTGAAATACAAACAGGTATACAGACAAACAGACATACAAACAAAAAATTATAGAACTATTATTTTGGGGTCTATATTCTGTACACAATACGTAACAGTCATAATTTTAAACTATTTTGTGAACAGATTTCGCTTTCTTACTTATGTTATACTATATTATATGTATATATATTTTATCTTTCTATGTACAGTTTTTGATGTAAATATTACTCAATAAGTTTGAACCTAATGACGTATTGATTTTGTTCTTTACACATAGTATATACCTATCATTTACACTTATTTCTTTACTTTCATACATTTCTTCATACATGTTGTTATTTCGACTGATGTTTTATTGATTATGATGACAATATTGCACCCAAAAACAAAAAACATATAAACTTTAAACATATTCATACTTACCAATATATTTCAAAATTAAAATACCTGTCTATGATTTCAAAATAGCTGTCCCATAAGGATCGGTAATGGTCCTGTAACGTGTGATACAGTCATTTAACAGATAATTCAGGCGAGTGATATAAATAATAATAATAAATGTTGGGACATTAACGCACAGCGCCATCTAGTTCCATGGTAAGCTACGAGGCTTGTGTTATGGATACCAGATAGTTGATACACTACACATATATAACTTTAAATACATGCATATTATAAATATAAACACCCATGACTGGAGTACAAACATTCGTGCTCATCACGCAAATGAATGCCCCCAGCGGGACTCGAACCCGCGACCGCTGGCACATCAAGTAGGGTCACTACCAACTGAGCCAAACGTGTCGTCAATATATAAGACTATTTTTTACCGTAATAGGGCCACTGCATAGTACACAATTTTTTTATTTAGTTGCTATTGGCAAGACTTAGTGCTATCAATAAAATTTTTTTAGGAAACAGTCTATTCTATTCATATATTACGTTTTCCTTAAATTTTCAATAAAGATTATTGTTGATTTTCGACACTTGTATAAAGCAATACTATATTTGTTGTTGGCTTGTTTACTCTATTCAATCCACCTACATATCCAATGGCTTTACAATCTATAAATATAATAAAATTGTAACTAAGCCGAATCTGTACATTAAATATTTTTTTGATTTTTTTATTGAAATAGACATTATTTTCGATATAGAAGCCGAATCTATAGTTTTTAGAATTTTTGTCTGTCTGTCTGTCTGGGAACGCATCATGAGAAAACCACTAAACAGATTCTGATGAAATTTGATATGATGATAGATATTTATCCAGGTCAACACATAGGATACTTTTTACTGCGGGAAAATATATCATCTCTGAAAAATCTATACTAACCTTAAAACGTAGGGACAAACTCGAACGGAGCGAGGGTGAGTCGCTAGTAAAATATAAAAACGTTACTCATGAAAAATTTAACTCGTAACTCGTAAGTAGCTAGTACTACTACAAAACTACTTTGCGTATAACACGACCGTCCGATAGACAATTAAAGGTACTATTGGCACAAAAATTTTAATTTTAATAATATAGGTTTTAATACAAAATAACTTTTTTTTATATTATCATGCATTTGTACATATGAAAAAATTAATATATATGTATAACAAGAAACCGACCATAAATATTGAAAACCTTTCAAATTAGCTACAATACAAGATGAAACGAAACAAACAGCGTAAAATACAATTGACGTGTTGCGGAAATGATAACCTTATTGCTGTAATAAAGAATGTAATTTTAGTTAGCGCAACAAGTAGTTACGTCCTTGTTCGCGGGGGGTGGGACCGCGTATTGGTTAGCCGGTGGCGCGAGTTTCAATTGCAGAGTCGTAACCAACGCGTGCGCACTTTCCAAGCTTTCGCTCTCATCGATGTCAGCCTGTTTTTACAAAACGAAATGACGATCTGCCAAATACGACGGTAAATATTACTGAATAAATGAAATTTTACCTTTGTAATAAACGTGATGTTTATTTTTTTTATAATTTAACAAAAAAATGTCGATTTTCAGTTGTTTTTATGTATTTTTTTTTTGTTTACAGGTGACAGCTTGCGACCTGCAAATTGTTACCGAGAAGTGACTTTGTAAAGCAAAGTGCGAGTGAAGTGTGTGTGGCTTATTACATAGTGTGCAAGTGAAAGACTTTTCCAAAATGTCCGGTTTTGTTAAAATAGCCATAGATGACTATTATTCAGATAATAACTGGACGGAAATCATTACCAAGTATTGGATGCTAGCGGAAAGAGTCTCAGGTAAGATAAAATTAGTTTATTAATACGTAAATCAAGTTAATTCAAAGTCAATCGCATTAACAGTCAATATATCATACAAAATTCCTTTTACTCGTAGAAAGTAACACGTTATTAATAAGCAGAATTATAAAACTTACTTCCGCCTGTTTCTATTTAAATTGGACTACTTACAAAAAAAATCGATATATTGACAGTTCATATTAGATAATGAATTACTTGTATTTAAGACAAGGCATAATTTAAAAAAAAAACGAAATCGATACCAAAATGAATGCAAATACTAAGATCGTACCTCTTTCATTATTTTTAACTAAATAAGTGTACTAAGTTTAAAATCAACGTAAAGTTTATTGGTATACATATATATATATACATATATGGTTTATTTATGGGTTTATTATTATGTAATAAAATTAATAATAAAATAAAATAATTAATTATAGGGGTTGAAACCCCTAGGGGTAGATTTTTTATTTAATATTTCTATGGAAATATCTTTGTACTAGACGAACCCTTTGTTTTATACCTTATATTTCGAAATCGGTTAAGATGTTATTCTTTTAAACAACTTTAATAATAATGACATCCAGTTTTATTTTGTATCATGAGTTCGCAAAATAATGTAATTTAACTTAGAGAGTATCTGCAAATGTCACAAAGCCTTTCATTTTCTGTTCAAATAAACTAACTCAAGCGAAAGCTGTTTTAAAGATATAAAAGAACTCAATGTGAGAGGAATGTTTAGACAGAATAAAAAATTGCATTATCGTAGAAATGGATGTCAGGGATGATTTGTTATTTATTAAAATAAAATAATGGAGAGTTTAAATAAAAAATATCTTTTTGGGATTTTTTCGCGGATTTATTTTGATTTTTTGCTCTTGACGTTTCGAATGCTTTACAGTAATCATTTTTATGGGGGAGACTAAGGTTTTAGACGACTCAAAGGTATAATATAGTTGGTACAGACAGCCTACCCCTAAAATTACACAATGAATTCAAAAATACAAAAATGGCACCAAAGTACCTTACAATATTTGTTAATTTTAATTTTAAACATTTTTTATAGTTTTAAGAATATGTTTTATGATTGAACATGAAAATATTATTTATTTAATTTTAGCTTTTATTATTGTAATATTTCAATTGTTTATAAAACTTTATTCATTAAGTAATCTCATTCAGTGTTGCTATTGTTATATTTATAAACATAAAGAAAATAAAATATAAATTATTCAAGTTTGCTATTAATTAAAATCAAAATATTAAGCAACACTATTGTACGTTTACGAATGAAAATACGCACAGTAAAGACTTACTACGTATAACTGTGTGTTATGTTTAATTTTGTTATTGTCTGTAATAACTACTTACGTCCATACATATATAATACCTTTGAGACATCTAAAACCTTAGTCCCTCTCGTGTGTGTGCATCGGCTTTGCGTCGTCATATTATACTTTCCTTTCCTTCCTTCCTTTACGCGAATATTTTATTTGATTCCCAATACAAACTTTTATCCCCATTTTTACCCCCCTAAGGGATGACTTCCGGAATAAAAATATGTCTTTCCCAGGGTCTCAACCATCTTCTAAAATTTCATATAAATCGGTTCAGTAGATACAGATATTACCCCCTACAACCTCACAAAATCACAAATTTTACCATTCTATAATATTAGTATACATTTTAAATTAAACTATATTTTCGAATTCTTTAGTTCTAGACAGTAAGACGTTAAAATTATAACTATATAAGATATAGTATATTTGACGATCCGTTTAGTTCAGTTTATAGTACACTACATGCTGTGCCAGCGGTCAAGGGTTCGAGTCCCGCTGAGAGCATTCATTTGTATGATGAGTACGAATGTTTGTACTACAGTCATGTCATATGAGTGTTCATATTTACAATATCCATGCATACACAAGCTTCGTAGCTTACCATGGAACTAGATGGTGCTGTGTGTTAATGTCCTATGATATATTTATTATTTATGTTAGTAGTATTTTAAATACTATAAGAAAAACTAAAATAAAAAAGAGGAAACAAAAACTTAGCCTTACATCATAATTATAAATCCGGACAAAGTGCAGGAAAACTAAACATTGTTTTAAAAATAAAAAATGTTTCAATACGATAGTAATATTATATAAATACACAGGCTACTTTTTATCCCGGAAAAATGTACGGTTCCCGTGGGATAGATTTGTTTTTGTTTTCCTAGAGGCAAAACCGAGCGAAGCAAGGATAAGCCGCTAGCATAAGTCAAATTATCTGCATATTCATTCCACAAACGTGAAAAAAAGTTTTGAATTTGCCACAATAATAATAATAATATTTCTATAATACTTTCTTAGATTTACGCGAATATTTGACATTTTAAATAAAACTATCTTTTCGGATTATTTCGCGGATTTATTTTGATTTTTGGTTCCCGACGTTTCGAATGCTTTACAGCATCCATGGTCACGGGAGAGAGTCTCTCCCGTATCCCGTAATCCGAAAAGTTAGTTTTATTTAAAATAATATTTCTTTTTATCTAATATAATATAAATATCACGTATTACGGTGTTTGTGATCGGACTCCTTCGAAACGGCTGGACCGATTTTAATGATTTTTTTTTTGTATATTTGGTATAGGAATAGGTCGTAAAGTATTTTTCACCAACTAGGAGCGAACCCGAGTTGAGCGAGGGCGAGTCGCTAGTTTTAAGTATAGAAATCTACATTACAAAATTACAATTAATAAAACTAAGAATAAATTATAACTACTGTGTAAACTCTATTAAAGATTAAATACATAATTAATTTTAGACATTTTACAGTTAAGCTTATAGCTTTAACTTAACTAGGGCTATAAAGACCAATAAGAAAAGCTCTTACTTTGCTCGAGCCCTAAAACATCTCCAACGTCTATAAAAGCACGTATTTCGACATGAACTCAATTTGTTACTTTTATACTTATCGTAATTAAATTTACACTAAGTGAAAGCTGATAAGATAACATCCTACTTCCTACTAATATTATAAATGCAAAAGTTCGTGAGGATGTATGGATAAAATGCAAAAACTACTGAATAGATTTTAATGAAACTTTATAATAATGTAGCTCACACATCAGAATAACACATAGGCTACTTTTTATCCTAGAAAAATGTACGGTTTCCATTGGATAGATTTGTTTTTGCTTTTGTAGAGGTGAGCCCGAGCGAAGTGAGGGTAAGCTTCTAAAATTTAAATATTTTAATGATAATGTAAATAGTAACTGGTTCTTGAGCTATAAACTTAAAAACGGACCAACAGATAGAAATGTTGATATAAGAAATATTTTAATGTTAGAACAAGAACATGATTCCGCTTGAAAAGTCTAGACCCAACAGCGGACTCTAAAATTAATAGTACTAAATTTTCTGTATATTTTTTAATTATCACTAACATCATATATTTAACATTATATATTTTTTTATTTTATAATATCTACAAATGAATTAATATTTAGTAAGAACTCTTAAGAAAGTGAGACATGAGACAGTTTAAGCAGACACTACCATGAAAGCACAAGTTTCTCTTTTACCATTTATCATACTTTTTAGAATTTTAAAGCCTATAAACATTTTGAAAATATTAACAACTAGCAGAACCCACGGCTTCGCTCGCGCTAAAACTACAAAAAAAACTCTAAATAGGTTTGTTTCATACAAACTTTCATCCCCTATTTAACCCCCTTATGGGATGAATTTCCTAAAATGGTAAAACACGTATTTATTTAATTGTATTGAAGAGCATGCATACCAAGTTTTAAATAAATTCTGATAAAATAATTTTTTGGGTTGTATTATAACGTGTTTTCCTTTTGTTAAAAAGTAGCCTATGTCACTGTCCAGCCTTCCAACTATCTCCATGTAAAAAAGCACGCCATTCCGTTACTTTGTTTTGACGTAAAAGAAGAACAAACAAACAAAAACACATTTATAATATTTAATACCTAATATTGTCTCGTACACCTTTATATGTATGTATATTCTAAACAGTATCCATTTCTTTATCTATCTAGCTAAATCGATATAATGAGAAAGTTCAAAAAAAAAGTTATATGTTAAAAAAATATTTTTTGTAAAATCTTATTGAAATAGTCATTATTATCGACACACAGACCGAATCTATAGTTTTTAAAAATTTTGTCTGTTCGTCAGTGTCTTGGAGCGCATTACGAAAAGACCACTGGACAGATTTTGATGAAATTTGGTAGGATGATAGCTGGTTAATCCGATCCGGGTCAATGTGACGGTAATGTTACTAATATTATGAATGTCAAAGTGTGTTTGTTTGTTTGTAACGGATTGGCGTCATTTTGAGATAGTTGGAGGGCTTAAGAATGACATAATTCCCACAGCAAAACACGTTATAATACAATCCAAAAAAATATTTATGATCAGAATAACTTGAAACTCGGTATTAATGCTCTTCAATAAAATAAAATAAATACGTATTTTAGTATTTTTCGAAATCCATCCTATAAAGGGGTAAAATTGGGAATGAAAGTTTGTATGAAACTACCTTTTTAGAGATTTTTTTTGTAGTTTTAGCGCGAGCGAAGCCACGGGTTCTGCTAGTCTTAAATAAAACTGTCACGGTCACGGGAGAGTCTCCCGTGACCGTGATGGCTGTAAAGCATTCGAAACATCGGGAACGAAAAATCGAAATCCGCGAAAAAATCCGAAAAGATTGTTTTATTGTAGATGCAGTCAGAGCAAAGTCTATGACAAAAAATATTATATCACAAAATGTCGGGCTAAAGGTACGAAATAAATTTAGTTATGCCAAAAATGAAAAACGTTTAAAAATAAAACTACTCGTATGAATTCTCGTTACTGTAGCTACTTATACAATATCTAAGTATGAAACCTCGATCTTGTCAATAAAATAGAGTGCATGATCTTAGATATTCATATAATTGTAGCAGGAAAACAATTATGTATGTGAAAAATCCTTCGATTCTTATAAAACAAAACGTTTATAAATAGTATAAAATATTAATAAATATTAAATACTCAATACTATTATATATTTCTAAAATATTTACTATTGTTAATATATACTATTGAGAAATATGTTTATTATTAACACATAATTTTTTAACTTATTTGAAGAAATGTTGATTTTTTGCCTATTTATTTAATACAATCTTTAAAGTGGCTTAATTAATTTTCAAGAGAATATTTCAAGCATACTTCGAGTCCTTCTTAAAATTATAATATTTAACGTTTAGTATAGATTTTTCACAGAGATGAGCCATTATCTCGCAGTAAAAAGTATCATCATACCATCAAAATCTGTCCGGTGGTTTTTCCTTGATGCGGTCACAGACAAACAGACAGACAAAATTGTAAAAACTATAGATTCGGTCTCTGTATTGATAATAATGTCTATTTCAATAAGATTTTCCAATAAACATTTAATGTACAGATTTCTCTTAAACTCAGAATTTATTATATGTATAGATTATATAATTAATATTAGACAAAGCCTAAACAAAACCATTTTATTAAACAAAAAATATAACTGGTGGGACGATTAAATAGAAAAAGCCATTTCATACAAAATGCTAAGGAGTACTTCTAGGACCAATTTTTGTTCCACAACTATTCCTAATGTTCATTATTGAATTCCACAGATCCTCGAGTACAAGGATGGTTACTCTTCGACACTCCGATCGCGACACTTGCGATGGTTATAGCGTACCTTAGCTTTGTGATGGTGGTAGGTCCACTATGGATGGCGAACAGAAAGCCTTTTAAGATCAAGAATATACTAGTTGGCTACAACGCAGCACAAGTTCTACTGTCATTATACATGTTTTATGAGGTGAGTCTAATGTTTTTGTTATTTTAAGCGGGTAACTACAAGAGAATAATTATTATCAAAGATGCAGTTCTCAAAAAATAATGCTTAGAAATTTGACAAATGATTATTTTTTATAAATAGCCAATTTTAAATAAAATCTGTTGAATCTTAATATATTTTTTCTTAAAAATTACAATATTTCACTATATGGGATATAATAAATAAACTATTAAACCATTTATTTCAATATACAATAATTGTAAAGAGTTTTTATACGTGTTATAACTTCTTCACGCTAAGACAGCTGAAAGCGTTTGGAGGACATTCAGTATACAGAAAGACTATAACCTAGAGTAATATATATGTTACTATAAGTCAGCTATTAACACGCCTGAGATAATTATAAACATAAATGATATAAGTAGAAATAAACTTATCATAATATATCGAGGTCTAAAATAATAATAGGTAGATATCTAATCGTATATAAATCACAACCGGCTCACCCTCGCGTCGTTTCGCTCGGGTTCGCCTCTAGGAAGACAAAAACAAACCTATCCCACGGTAACCGTACATTTTTCCGGATAAAATGTAGCCAATGTGTTATTAGAGACTATAATCTATCTTTGTGCCAAATTTCATCCAAATCCGTTCAGCCGTTCTGGCGTGAAAGAGTAACAAACATACATCCATACTAACAAACTTTCACATTTATAATATTAGTATAGATTTTTAAGTATTTTACGAACATAATAAGTCAATATTAAGTATATTCACGACAAGAAAAAGTAGGTAGTTAAAATATAAAAATCGATATTCCGATTTTTTTTGAACTAAATATAAAAGCTTTCAGATTAGTTACTTTCAAAGTGAACCTAAAAAATTGTTATATCTGCTTTACATTAAGGTTATATGGGACATTGTGGTCGTTATGTTTAAATGATAGAAACATTGTACCGAGGACGCAAAACCACGAACTGACTGTGTAGTCGGTGGTTTAAGACCATGGTGTGTCAAGAACTTGTGATGTCAAGGTGCATCATTACTTCATTTGTGGAACTATGCAGCCGTGACGTAAATAAAAAACATAACTAAGTAAAAACAGAAACATAAATATTACAATTTTGTATTATAATAAAAAATATGGTATTTCCATGATATAGAGATTGTAAACACGTTTCTTATATAAAAAATAACTTTAATACGAACTTACAATCACTTTTAAACCATTTGCAAAACAAATTTTGCAAAAATTTGAAAACCCACCCTCAGCTTACCCTTGTTATAAAATCTTTATATGGCGTTGTGCAAAATTTCATGTTTATAGCCTTGGTTCTTTAGTTTTTCAGTTAGTCATTATTAAGTAGTTATAAATCTTTAGTGAAACTGCGTCCACAGTCGATTATAAATACCAGTCTCTTTTCCCTTTATTGGCTGTAAAGTATAAAAACGTCGGGAATTAAAAATCACAATTAAAAATAGAACGCGAAAATATTCGTAAAATTAGTATCATATAATTGTGTTTCAATGAATAATATTCGCGTAAACCTAAAAAGTATACATGTAATACGAAATAACATAAGAAATTGATAAAAATATAATTTTAATTTAATATGTTTATCATAAATATTTTATTTTATACGTTTATTTATACATATAATACAATTGAGTTGAATTTGTAAATCTTATTAAAATAGTCATTATTATCGATACAGAGGCTGAATCTATAGTTTTTAGAATGTTTGTTTGTCTGTCTGTCTGTGACCGCATCACGAAAAAGCCGCTGGACAGATTTTAATGAAATTTGCTATGATGATAGCTGATTATCCGGGTCAACATATAGGATACTGTTTACTGTGGAAAAATTATCTCATCTTTGAGAAATCTATATTAAACGTTAAAACGTAACTAGGAACGAACTTGAGCGGAGCGAGGGTGAATCATTAGTCGTAAATAAATGTTATAATTTTTTTATTTATTTGCAGCACCTAATGTCAGGATGGTGGTATGATTACAGCCTCACTTGCCAGCCAGTCGATTACAGCGACAGTGAAAAAGCGAGACGGGTAAGTGTCATGCAATTAAATGCTATGCTCATTACCAAGGTTTCGATTGGGAAACTGGCTAACTAAAACGGTGTGGTTACGATTTTTACTAATATAACTATCAAAAAAATATATTTACGTTTTTTCTTCAACTATTGAAGCTAAAAATCAAATTGAAATATGTATAAGAGTGACATAAAAATTAAGTAAAAATTAATTTTTATTACCATTTCTGATGGTAGGTTAATTAACCGGTTATATTTATGAAACCTAATTTTGAAATCGACATATTTTACATTCTATTTCTTGTACTGCAACAATACTTTATTGCTATTTCAAAATATTGAGATTCCTGATGATTTTCAGTAACAGATAGTTGCAACCTGCAAGTGCTATAAAATTTTGTAATTTAGAATTCACTTTATTGCCACTTATATATTTTCTGTATTTTTTTTTGATAGTTATGGAAATTTGACGAATATCGAATATTTTAAGCAGATATATTTAATAGTACATTTAGAATGCGAAATTTAACATGAAGATTATTTAAAAAATCTGGTATATAAACCTTGTTATCCATACATATAATAAAATTGTAACTAAGCCGAATCTGTACATTAAATATTTTTTGGAAAATCTTATTGAAATAGACATTATTATCGATACAGAGGCCGAATCTATAGTTTGTAGAATTTTTGTCTGTCTGTCTGTTACCGAAAACCACTGGAGGGATTTTGATGGTGATAGCTGGTTATTCGGGTCAACATATAGGATACTACTTTCTTAGATTTACGCGAATGTTTGACATTATTAAATAAAACTATCTTTTCGGATTATTTCGCGGATTTATTTTGATTTTTGGTTCCCGACGTTTCGAATGCTTTACAGCATCCATGGTCACGGGAGAGACTGAGGTGTTACATGTCTTGGAGGTATAGTTGTTACAGACAGCCTACCCACAATTAACAAAATGAAAATTTTGTAATAATGTAAAGCATTCGAAACGTCGGGAACCAAAAATCAAAATAAATCCGCGAAATAATCTGAAAAGATAATTTTATTTAATATAGGATACTTTTTACCGCAGTAAAATGTCTTATTTCTGAGAAAAAATACAAAAACTGCAATGTAAGAGTATACTAATATGTAAAACCTAATAACTTGGTTTTTGGTCATCTGAACGCGGCCAGAGCCGCGGGCATTGCTAATAATTAAAATAAAGTAAGAAAACATTTTACTGCTACTTATTTGTATCTAAAACGGTATGTTTTAGTGAAATTATTATAATAACTCTAATGTATATTACTTCAATCTATTTTCTTCTATATGGTGTCTGAAGAAAACGCTCTTTTATTTAATTCAAATTCCAAACTCAGAGGAACAATTATTAATAAGAATATAAAAATTAAACAAAAAATATCAATGAATAACCATTTAATAGATATTTTTAATATTGACATTTCAATTTTTCAAACTTAGCCATCACTATGTATGTTTTACTTAATAATATTTTTTTCTCAGATTATATTAGCCAACATATATGCTATGTAGTGTTAGTTGTTATTGTTTGTAGGATATAACGAAATAATTGATTCCCTAAACAAACTTCCACTCCCCTTTTCACATACAAACAAGCGGACGAACAAACATACTTTCGCATATTTTATAATATTAATATGAATAATCAAAAATGAAAATGGTAAATTACATGGGTAGCGAGACGCGAACTCATTACTCATAGAAAGCGGAGATGAAACATACCGGTTACTGGCCGAGAAACATTTAAAGAGTTATAAAATAAACAGATAAACGTCTTTATTACTTAATTAAGTACAAAACGATTACTTTTTATTTTGTATCATTGAGTTATTTATAATGTACATATACGTCAGTATACGGAAAAATAAATAAATTCATTTCCGCCGTAAACTATTTTAAATTCAATTCTTGTGTTGAGTATGAAAATTGAATACTTATGTCTAGATTTAGTTTTTAATTTTACTTTTTTTATTACAATTTCAATTTGCTAAGTTATAACTTACATTTCCACGATTATTCGATAATTGAGTGGTAAATAAAAAAAAACTCAAAAGATCATTGACGAAGCATTTTTGCAATATATATATATATATATATATATATATATATATATATAATATTATTATTCTTACGATTTTTTTGTATAAATAAAAAAATATTTACAAAAAAAATAATATCGTAATAAAAATATTTACCTAATTATATTCAAACTATTTTTTTATAATAAATGAAAAAAAATATGTAAATGGAATTCTTTCCAATATTTACAAATAATATAGGTAAATATATTAATAAAATTTTTGTCACTTGAAAAAAATAATCGAAAGTGTCTTTTCAATAGACATGTCTAGCCGTTCTTAGCTCTATTGGTGTCGGTCAAGTTCAAGCAAAGGCACTCGCTTCGCATGCGTACTTTCGAATTGTTGTTTATTTTTCATCTGAGACGAAAGAGAAATGACAGTTATTTCTGACAGGTGTGGTCGGAAAGAGTAATCAAGTATACATATTTTATTCCTGACGTAATATTCGAAAAAAGTTAGTTATTTTGTAGGTATAATGTAAACTAAATAAATGTAAATGAAACATTAGTAAAAATATTATAAATTTTATGCTTAGACTAGCGACTCACCCTTGTTCTGCTCGGGTTCGTTCATAGTTACGTTTTAATGTTTAGTATAGATTTCTCAGAGATAAGATATTTTCCCGCAGTGAATCTAATAAAATATCCTATATGTGTTGACCCGGATAACCAAATATTATCACACCAAATTTCATCAATATCTGTCCAGTGGTTTTCTCGTGATACGTTCCCAGACAGATAGACGGACAGACAAAAATTCCTTCTCTGTAAAGATAATATTGACTACTTGAATAACATGTTCCAAAAAATATTTAAAGTACAGATTCGACTCAGCTCGAATTTTAATATATGTTATATCAGTGGCGAAGGGTCCATACAAGACGTCTTACCATGAAATTATTTTGCTGTAATTTTACATACATTTAATTGTATATATAAATCTTTTTGATATCACTTTTAACTTTGTATCTCTATTTTTGTAACTCGACTTATTATGAAAAATCTGTACTCACCTTGTCAGTATTGCGACATGTTTTAAATATACATATTTTCTAATTTTTTTAATTTTGCAAAGCTTTATAAATTTTATCTGGCTGATATTACTCAATACGACAGATTCACAGTTCACATTATTCTTTTATCCCACGCACTTTCTCTTCTAAAGCAAGACAAATCTAGATCATATAATTCATTATAATTACAATGCTAGTTAGATCTGTATGGATCAACAATATAAATTATAACTTATTTTTTAATAAGTATAAATATTATTATAATTAATACGAAGACATGTTTCTTGCTTTGTTAGTTTTTCATTTTATATAGAAATATTTTGAATTTTTTTAACTGCCTCGGTGTTGTGGCTAGCATGTACAGCTATACCCCCGGAGGTCCTGGGTTTGAGTCCCGGTCGGGCCAAGTTTAGTTATTCAGTTTCTCTATATATAATTAGCATCAGTAACAGCCCGGAGTTGGGAAGATGGCGGTGTTGCACCCCGTGCCTCGGAGACCACGTAAAGCCGTCGGTCCTGCGCCTTAACTCTCATCGGTCGTGTCGAGCAATCGTCCCACCGCAGTATGAGAGTGACAGGAATAGAGAGTGCACTTGTGTCTGCGCGTACACTTGTGCACTATAATATCTACTGCGCAGATGGCTAGTCTCAATGAGATTGGCCGCCGTGGCCGGAATCGGTCAACAGGGCAATAATAAGTTTGAAAGCCGCATAATTTCATTAAAGTAAATTAAACAGCTCTCGTAAGATGACGAAGATGCACGCATGAAGCACGTAAAAGCATGGCATTAGTATAGCATAATTTGCCTAACCCTAAAAACATAACTCCCGCTCCCCTCCTTAACTCTCTAGAAAGATTAAATGACCTACATATTATTTTAAATAAAACTATCATTTCTGATGGGAGAGTCTCTGCCGTGACCATGATTGCTGTAAAGCATTCGAAACGTCGGAAACCAAAAATCAAAATAAATCCACGAAATAATTCGAAAAGAATAGTATTATTTAAAATATCAAATATTCGCGTAAAGCTAAAAAAAGTATTATGTGGACCTACATATTATCACCAAAGTGCATTTTTAACTAGAGTTTCAGTTGACCGCAACCTTTGCTTGACGTAACGAACTTTCACTATCTACTGACAGTAATTGCGTCACTGCAAAAGCGAAATTAGAGGCCCGTCCATTATATACGAGCTTTTGTTATTGACCTTCGAAAGAATGTACAGCGAGCTTTGACGATTCCGGTTTATTGTTTAAATATTATTATTATTATTTGTCCTTAAGCTGTGTGTTTATTGAATAAATTAGATGTACATTGTAGAATTAAGTATTTTAAAAAACTTTAAAAATACTGAGGTAAATTTTCATCGAAATGATAATAATATATCGGTAAATATTTCTCACTTTTTATAATGTCCGTTCAAACTGGCTTATAATATATTTTTATTTTTATTATATTACTAGCAGAATCTTTACGGTTTATTTTACCACAATGGATTAATTTCAAAAAATGCTAAAACACGTATTTATTTAATTGTATTAAAGAGAATTAATACTAAGTTTCCAGTAATTCTGATCATCAATAATTTTTTGAGTTGTATTATAGTGTATTTTCCCGCGTTATTGAGATAATTATATTTTTAATATTAGCGTGGATATATATGAATGTTATGTTATGACTTATGAGGATAAAAATTACAGATTGAATTTATTTGGCCTTTAAATAAATCTTCGATTAAGAAATCGAAATTGAGAATAAGCTCGGTGAAAGAAAATAATGGTGGTTTGCTTTCCTTTCTCTTATTTTTTTTTTATATATAAATTTCATTGCAATACAATTATCACTCCTTCTAATTATAACAAATTATATTAATAACTTGTTATAAGTATATCCGGTTACGATGTACATAACTTGCGTTAGAATATATTATTGTCAAGTAATAAGTAATTTCTTAGATTTATACGAATATTTGGCATTTTGAATAAAACTATCTTTTCAAATTCAAATAAATCGGTGTCATTTTTAAACTATTTGAATTCATTTTATTATTTTGTGGGTAGGCTGCCTGTTACAAATATACAATGCCTTTGAGACATCTAAAACCTTAGTCTCTCCCGTGACCATGATTGTTGTAAAACATTCAAAACGACCGTCGGGAATCAAAAATCAAAATAAATCTTCGAAAAAATCCATAAAGTTAGTTTTATTTATTGTCAAGCATTAGTTAAACTGTTTTCTTCTTTTTACAACCGAATCTTGCTTTCATACAAACTTCACGTACACAGAGATCTGAAATCTATAAATTCAAGGTCTACTTTTACACATAGCGAACCAAAAATTAGTGAAACTCTAAAAAATATTTTTCTTAAATACACTTTTAAGCAAATTTTTATGCTAACTTACCTAAAAAATAAATAAACCCACATAAATTTCTAGCAAAATCCACGCCATCCTAAATATACACCAATTATTCTGTAATATGTTATGGTACATACATTAAAATAAATTAAAAAAACAGTGTTATTTTTAGTTATAATTTCTTTTATTTGTTATAGATGCTACATCTCTGCTGGGTTTACTATTTTTCAAAGCTATCAGAGTTCGCGGACACAATATTTTTCGTGCTAAGGAAAAAGAAGAGTCAAATCACGTGGCTTCATCTCTACCATCATTCCTTGACACCTTTTGAAGCTTGGATTTTAGTTAAATTTATTGCAGGTGAGTTAAAAAGTTCTTATAAAGTTTATGAAATTTCAATATAGCTTTAAATATTTTATTTGTACTCAAAAGATGTTTTAGCTCTCTATAGCTTTGATTTAATCTGAACCTCAACATGTGATATAATTTGGTGAGATTAATATCTGAGAAAACCTAAGTATAATAGTTGTCGAAAGACATATAAAGTTTGCGAATCTTCATCTGATCAGCATTGTCTTTTGACTTTCTGGTCTCTTTTGTATAATTGAACATAGAATATTTTATATATTATCATCTAGAAGAACCCGTGCTCAGTAGTGTGAATTTAAAATGGCTGAATTATTAAGGATTCAAAGAAAGTGGAGACATATTTAAACACAAGAATAGAAGAAAATATGAATAAATTAATCTAAAATTATGTTTTTGTTAAGGTGGTCATGGAACGTTCTCGAACATAGTCAACAATCTCGTGCACGTGATTATGTACAGCTACTACATGTTGGCTGCGATGGGTCCTCAGTACCAGCAGTACTTATGGTGGAAGAAGCAAATAACGACGCTACAACTGGTGAGTAAATTTTTTACCCCGACCGTACATTAGGCGACCACGACCACAGTTGCCAGCGACTATATTAATATAATGTCGTACTAACGAGTTATTCTTGTTTCGCTTCAATAACGACCATGGCGTGGCAAATTTTACTACAAATAGTAAGTAAGCCGACATATTACTCCACATTATAGTCTTCTAGCAATTTACCCTCAATTCGCTTGGGTTCGGCCCTAGTTGCGTTTTAACGTTTAGTATAGATTTCTCAGAGATGAGATATTTTCTCGCAGTAAAAAGTATCTTATATGTTGACCCGGATAACCAACTATCATCATACCAAATTTCATCAAAATCTGGCCAGTGGTTTTCTCGCAATGGATTCCCAGACAGACAGACAAAGATTCTAAAAACTATAGATTCGGCCTCCGTATCGATAATAATGACTATTTCAATAAGATTTTCCAAAAAGTATTTAATATACAGATTCGAATCAGTTACAATTTTATTATATGTATAGATTTGCATATTTACTTATGTACATAGTTTACGTTTTAAGTTTGATCTAAATCTGTCCAGCCATTTTAGAGTGAAGGACTTACGATATCGAGCACTACACGATCAATTCACGATAGTCGCCTAATGCGCGTGACTATTAGAAATACTGTAAAATCTATCGTAAAGACATTTGCAACCACTTTTGATTCGTCAATTTAACATTTTTTTTTATTAAATGTCAGTAGTCGGTCTGGAAGGAATATACCGGATCGGAAAGCAGTTTTGTACTAATATATAAGCCAATTTAATCGCAAACTTTTAGCAAATATTTTTTTTAAATCACTCTATATCCAGAACCTGAATTTTATCAATATTAATTCAGCAAGTTTGTTATGGAATCTCAGAAGACGTGAAACGCTGTAATACATTGTAGTGATAAAACTAAATTTAATACAAAAACCAAATTTTTATTTCTAACGGTGACTCATAAGTTAAGTAAACGTGTCATTGCACTTAAAGTAATTTAAAAAGTAATGCAAGACGTCCGGAGTTAAAAGAATTTCACATTCTAAGCCTATTAGGTCCTTCCATACCGCACCTTGAATTCCGCTCGCCCTAGCTTGCGAAAGCAAAATATATCCACTACTTTACAGCTTAGCTAATGCTTTTAGGTCATTATCGGACTTTTAGAAATATTCTATATATATTTGTTACTACGCGCTGAAACGATGTATTTATTTATCTCGCTCCGCTCGGGTTCGTCCCTACTTACGTTTTAAAGTTTAGTATAGATTTCTCAGAGATGAGATATTTTTCCGCAGTAAAAAGTATATGTTACCCGGATAACCAACTATCATCATACCAAATTTCATTAAAAACCCTCCAGTGGTTTTTTCGTGATGCGGTAACAGTCAGACAGACAAACAGACAAACAAACAGGCAGACAGACAAAAATTCTTAAAACTTTAGATTCGGCTTTTGTATCGATATTATTATGTATTGCAATAATATTTTCCAAAAAATATTTAATGTACAGATTTGGCTTAGTTACAATTTTATTATATGTATAGATAAACGATCTATTTGTGTTTATTTACAATTATACACGAAATTAAAGTTTACATGATTACGATAGAAAAAATAATGTAATCTTTATATATTCACTTCACTTAGGAAACTTTCAATTTTACAAAAGAACATAAAGAGTTTAATGTAGTAATTTTGAAACTTAGAAATTAATCTGAGAAACGTCACGTTGCTACTTTATTCTTATTAAGTCCTCGTTCGTTTCAATCATAGATACTTGCAGTAGAAAGGTAAACTTCATCCCTATGGCGATGGCTTTCAAATTCTAAGTAAACTTAATTTAAATCTACCTTTGGAAGTACTTTTGAATTATCATTATCATACACTAGTTGACCCGGCAAATTTTCTGCCATATACGTTTTACATTTTACATACAAAAATAATAAATTCGCGATTAAAAATGGGTGGTCGGGGTAGGAAGGTGAAAAATACTTTACAACCTATTCTCATACATACCTTATAAATATACAAAAAGAATCATTAAAATCGGTTGAGCCGTTTCGGAGGAGTCCGACCACAAACACCGTGACACGAGATATTTATATACATATACTCGTCTATTTAACATTTAAATTAATATAGCAAATCCATGAGGAAGCTATTTCTCTTAAAGAAACTACTTCTCCATTAGGCTCTTTTGCTGGAAAGAGCAAGTGAATCCAGTCACACACTAACTTTGTGCGAGTTATTTCAAAGTATTTGGAACTGCCAAAATAAATTATTTATTGCAATTAATATCAATAAAAGCGTGTACTTTACTTATATTTTTTTAATTCTAAATAATTCCTACAAAACCTTATAAAATTGCGTCTCAAATAAAATTTGCAATTCATTTTCCATAAAAATCACGCCATCACACTGCTAAGTTTGAATGAAAAGTAGTACCTTTACTAAAGCGGCTGAAGATCACGAATCCCATACAATCGTTTAAATACAACAAGTTGTATAAACATAAATAAAATATTTCCCATGACCCTGAAACAAAATGCTTGATTCCAACAGACGGCAATAAAAATAAAAAGAAAGATATTGTACAATTTCTAACAAAAGACAAATACTAGAACAAGGCCATAAGAAGAGCTGTTATGAAATTATAATTACAATCAAACTAGCGCTTAAATTACTTGAGCCAATTCTAAATGAGATATTTAGTTGCAAAACTGCATTTAAGACTTTTTTTTGCAAAATTACGTTTCATATTTTTGCAATGGAAATGGAATTTGTACTACAATTCTTCCTAAGTTGAGAAATCACGGCTTTTTAAGGTTTAATTTTTTGGTGTATTTTTTATTATTAGAGTAAAAGTTTGGTCAGAATCAGACTATTAATTTTTAAAGAAATTTCATTGATTAATACGTATTTTAATATTTGTTCAATAGTGTATCTATAGGTATAAAAACCAATTGCCGTTCATTAGTCTCGCTACAACTCAAACACGGCTGGACCGATTTGAATAATTCTTTTTGTTTTGTTGGTGGTGTCTCAGGGGTGGTTTAGGTATAAAAAAAATAGGGAAAACAAAAAAAAACAGCTGGAAAATCGAAAAGTTCATAACTGTTTATTTTGTACCTATGTATTATAATATTATAGTCTATCTATTCCATACTAACAATTAAAACGTACCTAGGTACGTACCTGCGGACGAACCCGACCGAAGCGAGGATGAGTCGCTAGTTATGAATATTTGCGTCTTAACAAGCCACTTAGTTATATCTATAGTATTATATGATCTGTGGTTATATCTTTCACTGCCATCTTCACAATTTTCATTAGACACTGAATTCATACACTCGCTTGAGATGCGGAAACAGTATGCCTAATTTTAGACTTAATTACCTTACATAATTGATTATAATATATTATCATAATTGTTCCAAAATATTTAAAATGTACTTCGTTTATTTCTAGACGAAATAACTAAATAGCTAGTTCGATAAAATCATAGTACTCAGGGAGCGGGCAATTCGATTTCGACACGGCAGGCGGAACGCCATATCCTTTCTCTGTTTGCATTACAGAGAACGTTCTCGAGACCTTCGGATGTCAGGAAAATTTTAATTATATTATTTACTAGCGACTCACCCTCGCTCCGCTCGGGCTCGTCCCTACTTACGTTTAAGGTTTAGTATAGATTTCTCAGAGATAAGATATTTTCTTGCAGTAAAAAGTGTCCTATTTATTGACCCGGATAACCAGCTATCATCATACCAAAATCTCTCCAGTGGTTTTTCCGTGATGCGGTAACAGACAGATATACAGACAGACAGACAGAAATTCTAAAAACTATAAATTCGGCCTCTATCGATAATAATGTCTATTTCAATAAGATTTTCCAAAAAATATTTAATCTACAGATTCGGCTTAGTTACAATTTTATTATATGTATAGATTACATACGATTCCGATATAAATAAGTAAATAAATAGCTGGCATCTTAGAAAATTGGTTTGACTCGTAGGTAGAAAAAGTTGCGTACAAAGATATGCGTGTATATTATGTACCAGTATAACTATTTTTCACGTCGTATCGATTTGAAATTATTCTAAATTCTTATAATATAATAATTTGGTATCATAGAACTTATCTGAAGATGGTATCAGGAGGCTATTAATAGAACTCTTGGGTGGCATCTAATAAGTCATTGGAGTTTGGGCTCATTTGACTTGTTTTGACGGGTTCCATACATTACAGTTAATTAAATGGTTATATTAAATATTAATAATAATTAGATATAACTTATACACAACTTCGAATTGAGGTAATTTTTTTATTTTTTTTTTCATAAATCCATACTAATATTATAAATGTGAAAGTGTGTTTGATTGTTTGTTTGTCCTTCTTTCACATCGAAACAGAGTGACAGATTGGCGTGATTTTTTATGTAGAGATAGAAGGCTGGAGAGTGACATAGGCATATTTTTTATTACAGGAGATTATCTCATTCCTACGGGAAAACAAACACGTTAAACAACCGAAAAAAAATATTTATGATCAGGATTACTTAAACTTGGTATCAATGCCCTTCAAAACAATTAAATAAATACGTGTTTTAGTATTTTTCGAAATTCATCCCATAAGAGGGTAAAATAGGGGATGAAATGTTTGTATGAAACCTACCTTTTTAGATTGTTTTTGTAATTTTAGCGCGAGCGAAGCCGCGAGTTTGTCTAGTATATTATAAAACTGATGGCATTGAAAAAAAAACAAATTATAACATAAACAAGTTATCTCTTTAGCACTCTTACAATGATTGGATGCTGAGGCATCGGTAATCGAAAGTGTAAGGAGAAAGTTTGAAAGCGTAAACTCCACGAGCACTTGAGGATATCATGGGATTTATAAATGCAAAAACTAAAATTCCAGTGTCATGTGTTACTATCGGAAATATTTTATTTCTGTACGTATGAACCATAGATGCGAAATAAAAAAATCTGTCT